GGCTCTTTGAATAGTCAGTTAGATTTAGCCTGCTTCGGTAGAGAGGTATAGGCCAATTTGAACGGACCTGATGCAGACATAATCATCAATGAGGTACCGTTATCCCTTGGGTCGAGTGAACAGGTCAGAGACGATAGCCAGCATGACTATGACCGTTATCCTCTGAGGCTAGAACAGATTGAGATGCCACTCTTTTCTGCAAACTGGCAACGGACATTACTGCCTCACTAATGCCTAAAAGCACAAGTTGATTATCATGATGGAATGACTACCTCTTCGACGGATTATGATTTTGGACTGGTTGGTTTCATACTCAAAAGGACTTCCATAGAAACAATATGGTATTTGTTAGCCCGCCACCTATACAATGATACCTAAATATGCATCTTGTCGGTAGAGTTAGTGATTAGTAATGAAGCGAACGGTCCAAACCATGTGGCTTTTTACCTTCGCAGAATTCCCACTAAACTCGCTGTATGTGCGTATAAATCAGGTACTACGGAAGATATTCAAACGAAATTCAATCACCTATCTTCTACTGCTATTTGTTCGTTTGTTGCACAACTTGACAGCCGTCGGTACTGGGGAAGTTATTTTCAGAAGATGAGGTGGCCGTATAATCTGACTGTGGCAGTATGATCTTTGAGTGAGATAAAGACTTCGCATGAAATTGGCAGTGGTTTAGGCGAAGGACGCAAAATAATGAACTATATTGATAAAAGTCCGGTAAGTATGATTTGGGAAGAGAGCACACGATCCGCGAAACAGTTTTTTTTTAGACAAAAGAGGTTATTCACGCTCTGAGGAACTGCGAAATTCATTGAAGTGCCCGATGATTTTTAAATATTCCGTGTAATGTAGTCGAGGCGGTGCCCGAAGTAATCTCGGATTAGCTTATGATACGGTTGACTTATCATTATTCCGCGTAGTTTTAATATAATACTGCAATCCAGTGTCATACAGGCGCCATTGTATTCAAGAATAGAGCTGCACAGCCTTGTCATGCAGGTTCAGCATTGAGGAGACCGAATCCAAACGCACCAGTTGCCTCCCGGAGATTATAAACGGAGTTGCGATGAATTCGTTAGCTTAAAATAGGAAGCTACTTGCAATATCAACATTGTGTGAAAAACGTGCGAGAAGGCAGTGCAGTCTTTATGTAGTTCGTTTTCTTTCGAAAAAGACAAAGTACCCACGCCATTCTAACTGCCCTACATCTCGCCTTGCTTTGGGCACTTTTAAAACATGCCACTCAATGAAATCGTCGAGCAATTTGTATATTTCTTCAATAAAGCAGTGAAAGTGTATTTGGGCTTAAGTCTTCCAATAATTTTGTACGCCTGAATGCATTTAACGAATAACTGCAACCACGGCCTGAACAAACGATTCCTGAAAACAAATACATCGATATGTGAACCCTCAAACACTTTCGTTTGGGAGTAATGATCAGGTTGCCCGATCGTCTCGAGAGGAGACACAGTTATTGTTTGTTAACTCATCAATAATCAAATACCGCTCAACAAGTCAATGATTTCTGTGATTTCAACTTGGAGAGAAGCCTTAGTCGAGGGGTCATCAATTGGAGTTAACAAACAGTAACTGTGTCTCCTCTCGAGGCGATCGGGCAACCTGATCATTACTCACAAGTGAAAGTGGTCGAGTGTTCACATATGATAATTCGGTCGTGCCTAACGTGAGGTCAGTGGCGCAGTGGTAAACACTGTTGCCTCATGAACAACGTGGTCATGGTTCTAGTCCGGGCAGTGGCGATGATATGCACTACTGACGAGCTCTAATGAGAGCGAAACTCGAGTCTAGTGCTTCTTTTCGAAAGGGGCCGACTGGAAAGTCTATGGGAATGTGACAGCTGCGATCAAATGTGCGTGATGTTCAATCTATATGGACATCGATAGGTGTTAGACGAGCAGAATGCTTGACTTAGCCAATTGATAATTTTTTTTATCGTAATACGTACATACATACATACATATCGCCGATCCCAGCCGACGATTTCAGGTGCCTCAGTAGTGAACGACAGATTTCGTTTCGATTAAGAAAATCGAGCAATATACTTCACTCATTGTGTGTGGTGTGTTTTACACGATTTTTATCAAAAATTTTACTTGTGCAGATTATGCAGTTGATATGCCCTTCCTTCTTTTCCTCGTAGACCTTTGAGTCAAGGATTAAATTATCTGTAGCCTATTTCAGAAAAAATGTTTCTACTGAGTGGAGTACATAGACCTGACCTGTTCCACTGCCTTGATGTGGTGGTTAGGCTTGTGGGCCGCATCGGTCCTGAGGGCTATCGTGACTGAAACTTCGGTCCCACTAAGTACACGTACATCAACCAGGTCAATGAAGAACAGCCAGATGAAAAGTAGACGCACTCACACGGTTGTAGGTTGCACTACCGATAGCGTGGGAGTGCCCAGATAGTGAGGTATGAAACTAATATCACAAAGCATGACTAGCTCCATAGTTGTTACACTGCTGTATTTTGAATAAGGAGGGGGAGGTTAGAAAAGTTACCCTTAAACAAAGAGTAATCAAATCGCCAGATAGTCGGCGGTGACCGCCAGTTAACTATCCACCGCAGTAGAAAAACTTTCAATGTCATTCAGAAGTCTGATATTGTTTCAGATACATCTACTGCGCACAGCAGTGATCAGAACCAAACATCAACCACTTGTTCATCGCGTTCCCGGGACAAGCAATTATTACCGTACTAAGTGAGCTAGATTGTTGAGTCATTAGATGCTGGTGGCATCCCCAGGAAAACATCAGCTCCGGTTTTCTTACAGGTCAGACTTTTGAGTCGAAAGCTCGGGGTGGAGTCCTTCAAATCAACCCTCTTCTGCGGCCGGAACATCCGGAGTGTGACAAGTCATCGTTCCCCCGATGGCCACATTTCCTCCCCAAATATTTCTTTCTTGTGACTTCAGGCGATAACTATTTTCTGAAGAAAAAGTTAGCAAACACTGGCACTTTCACTGTCCGTACTTTTCCTCTGATGGATCAGAAGGTTGCGTTGGCCAGCTCTCACTCGCGTCTGTTGGTCGACAGTCATGAACTGAACATGCCGACAACGTTAGCCGTATGAGATAATCTCTAGATTTCCGTAAATTCATGAACTTTTCTCCTAGTGTCTTTGGTGACGTCAAGGCTGACTCTCGTGATCAAGCTAGAGTGGGAGTCGCACCGAGTTCTGATGCAAAGTAGTATTCGCTCGACTGAATCCCAGTGAACAGTGGCCCGCATAACGTCGGATCCAATACATCGGTTAACTTCAGTTGGTACGAAACAGAAAAAGCTGTATATCCAGCACAGTGAAGCACAAGAGATAGTGAAGCAGCTGCTACCAACATTGCGTTGTGTGGTGGTCGACTAAGAGCTTTCGCGAAGATTATGAGCGTAATATGGTCGAACAACCGAAAAATATGGGGGAGTCTTTTATCTGGGGATACCAGAATGCTAATTTCCGCTGAGCATGGTTATGTTGGCCGTCAAGTCAGTGTAAGCGAAACCATAGTGGAAAGACACGTTTTATTAATAATCAACCGGTAGCTACGATCTGACAGGTAGGTCGAACACTATGAGAAACAGTTCGCCTGGCCTCAACCGGACCATATAGATGACGGGATCCGACTAGTGAGTTATTGTGTTCCATACGGTCTTTCGTCAGAAGCGGACATAAACTTGGAACTGAGATCAGTGAAGCGTAACGAAATACTTAGAACAGATCTCTCTTCATCTTGAGGTTGATATCAAAACTGACAGAATTCCTCACAATTTTTAAGACTGAAGAGGCACCTTGTGAGTGGTGCATACCAACAGCTCCTCCTTCCCAAACGGTGGCCGGGATTTCATTTGACAACCAAAGGAGCGTCAGTTCAGTGTCCAATTTACTCATTAACCTTATGTTACGTTGGCTCCCTAAGGCTGGGAAAGTCAGATATCTGAAGAAAAAGCAGGATTCTGATCCAAGGAGGATGCCTTGCTTATATTTTTACTCTGCAGACTGGCCTAGAGCATCAGTAGCTGATAACCGTGGTATTTTTAGACCTAAGGATTGCCTTTGCTTCAATTGTTCATGAAACCTTCTGGAACTGTTTACTTTTGAAGGAATTTCTAGAGCAGTAAGTGAATCTGTTAATGCCGTTGTAGGCTAACTCGACATACAAGATGAGAGTTTGCGGACAGCTGTTTGGCGTGTGCTTACTTCTAGTGATCTTCGCCAAAGGCGTCGGATTTCCCACTTCCAAGTAAATCTTGTCATGGAAGACATTGTAGAAGGTGCGCTCGAGGAATCTTTTGGGCCTGGCGATGGATTTCTTCTTGATGTTGAGTTGACCAACATGAGATGTGTGAATGACATTGTCGTGTTTAGCTCCGATGCCGAAGTCAAACAGACAGTGCTAAACAAGGTGAATGAGCAAGCTGGTTTGTGTAGACTGTGTTTCAAACCTTCACGATACAAATTACCCATTTAAGACTGAAGCAGTCTCATACTCACTAGCTTTGTTGCATGAAATTCGCTTGCGCTTGTGGACACTCTTACATACTCGGATACCACTAAATTGGTAACAGCACGCAAACCAGAGTCAAGTTGGATAAGCAAGAATAAACGTTTGTTGACAAATGATCGAAGTTCTGACAAAAAACTGGTTGTCCACAGTCTAAAGTGGAAGTTGTGTATTTATGTAAAATCCGGAGATTCCAGGTAGTGGGAGAACAAGTAGTGAATCTCGTAAGATACTGGAAGGATGTAACAAACTTTCCATGCAGTGCGCTTTTCACAATCCCTCAAACACTTGGTCAGGAACTTTGCACCATCTTGAACCCTGCAGAAGATTATACTGCGTTGGTGGATTCCAGCATGAACTGATCGAGAAATCATGCTTGGACAGTCAATCGGTTGGATCATTTGGTGGATTTCGTATGACAGTTGATTAAGTGGGTAACCAGGTCCAAGTGTGAAATTTCTGAGCTCCCAGCATGACTTCGTAGCTCAGTTGGTAAAGCATTTACCGCATTTGGGCATGTTGTTTCTGTCGCTGGTTCGAATCCAGCCGAAGTCCAGATTTTTCGCGGTTGGGTTTTTTCTAAACAATCAAATCCGCCAAACTGTTTATTAGTAATAAAATTCAATTTCCCCGCTAATTAAAGTGGTTGACTGTATGTGAATTTGTTCACCATTACACAATAAGAGGCGTTGGCATAAATCCGGTTGACTTAGACAACTGATATCCGAAATACAGATCATCCACTCTTCCGATGGATATTATTTACTAGCTGTAACAGCACAACTACTCGTCATAGGCTTCAAGTTTTGCCTTAAAAATATCATTGAAACAATGTTGGAGTAGATGCCGCGTTTCCCCTAGTAAGCAACTATCGTGATGCTAGTTCCGAGGTTCGTACACCCAAGATTTCCTCAGCCTTACATTAACGCGGATCGGAAGCCACAGTGAGAAGACGGTGGATACAAGCGGACTTCAACGCAACGACTAAGGGCGTTAGGGAGCTGGATCTAAGAGAACCTTCAGCACAACCGCACGGCAGCCGCCAGGGAGGACGAATGTCAACGGAAATTCCAGTTGACCTTCAGGATTCAAACAAGTGTCAGTCTGGTTGGGCGGCGTTCCCAACGGTAGTAGCTAAAATATTGTTATCCTAATGAATATAGCTTACAATGGTAGAGATGGCGCGGATTCCTTATACAGCTACGAGTAAAACTGCAATACCTACACCAACACACTAACTTTGATGCTAGTGGTTTGTAGTAAATTTACATTCACAAGGTAATGTGAACCAGGGCGGTGGTACTGACAAGGCATCTCTCACGTCGCAGGAAGTTTAGGATTTTGGGGACGTCGAAGGTGATCTCATTAAACAACCAAACTAGTTTCAAGGGCAGATCCAGAGGCTGTCTGGGGTTGCAATTTCGATCACATGACTGAACTACAAAAGTACCATAAGATCATTCCTTACGCTCCAGGTAGCAAACAAGGTGAGGCTTGGCAATTAAAGCCTTACTGTTAGAATCCAGCAGCTGGCTTACAAGATATGAGAATGTAAGAAGCAAAACAACTTGCCAGTAAAACGTCTGACAGTTTATTCGTGACAAGCTGAAGAGGAAGTTTTGGAAGAGTGATACCCTATCGTAGCTGGTACTACTTTACGAAAGACACTTGCTGACGCTTCTGTCTTAATGAAGAAATTGCTCCAGAATGTTAGTGATATTCCTATTGCAAACATGTTGTTAGACTACCGCACGATACTGAATGACTGTAGATTAAAAATAACTTACAAGAAGTGGAAGACTTTGAGAAGGAAATAATCGAAATGTCAAACGGTTGTTGAAAACACTCCGTCTTCTTCTGATCAGTCCAACAACTGAGTTAATGAGTACTTCAAGTTATTTGATTTTCATACTGACAGCTTAGTGTGAATTCAACAGGCAATTTTTCCATGGTCAGCCCATTTATGCTTTTCTACCAACCTGCCTTCACCAAAACCTTCGTTTCGTGTGTGACCGCAAGCAAGATAATGAGAAATCTAAATGTGGTCTTTTCACTGGACATAACTCAGCCCACCGTTAGGCGATCAAATGTCCGTGGTGTAGTTTCATGGAATGACTGGAATACATCGGTGATTGAGAATAGCAATGTTATCGGCTTATCACACTTCGAATTCCTTACAAGTGGCGTTGTGCTGCAATTGAATCAGGCCTGAATTGTACGTCCTGGTTGATAGCGAACACGCACACCGTGCTCAAGTGGCTCGCACATTTCTTGCACATCAAGGAGCCATATCACTTCGTTAACTGCAACCAAATCCCAGCCTAGTTGAATATTTTTCGAGGCAAGTTTGATTACAAACAACCTTTCAGTTCATTATCATTGCTACAGTCAGTTCTCAAGGAGGAATGAAATGAGAATTCACAAACTCTGATAAAGTAACCTATAGACCACGTGTCACAGAGGATACACACTCTGGTATTGTTAAAAGGTGAACGAACCGGATGCTAACTAACAACAATCCGAGACGATGTCAACCATCCCTTCTGTAGCAAAGGCGCATTATTCATACAGATTCTGCGTGTGCTGTTTCTTGCGGCACAATCTCAAACTGATAATGTACCACATGTTTTGTTCGTGTTTTAATTAGCTCAAGCAAAACTGAAATAAAGTAACCCAGAAATATGAGCCAACCCCTTATCCTGTGGACAAGCTGTCTTATGAATTTTGCTTGTGGTGAGACATTTTAAATCAATGAGTCATGACCTATTGGCACCTTATTTGTCCTCATGAATGAAAGTAGTCTATATCATTAGAAATGAAGCACTTCATTTAGGTCAATAAGGTTCCTATGCAAAAGTGTCACTCGTCAACATAAGTGTTGTTTTTTTATGGTCCTGCTAATGACAGTGACTTTAATAGCAACACTAATGAAGGTAATGATAACTTTAAAAACTTTTATTTGCACACCTTCAAGCAGGTTGCTGTGTTATGAGTCTTCTTGCTGAGCAGTGTGCCAATTCAAGAAAAGTCTCCATGTGAACAGTCTGGACTTCGACTGCACTCGAATCATCGGTTGGAGCAGCATACTCATACACTAAAAGTGCTAGGGCATTAACTAGCCACTTTGTAGGGAGGTTGCCACATAAGGGCATGCTGTTCCTGTCGCTGATTTGAGTCCAACCGAATTCCAGACTTTTCAGAAAGTAAGGTTCTTTTAAATCATGATTCTCCCTATCACAGTGATCATCATATCTTTCTGCTTCGAGATTCTAGTTGTCTACTGAGTCAAATATCTGGCTTGGCACAAACTACTTCTGGTTAAATGCGTGTTCATGAAACCGCAGTCAATGGGCAATTCCTCATGGAACTACACGTGCCATGCTGACCATAGAGAGAGAAAGTATAGAGGGGGTTCTTTCGTTTCATAATATGCTCCTTTGGCCCGGGGATCATATTAGTAGATGGTAGACCGACTGAGTCGCAAGCTCGCAAGTCTCGCTCAGTGGCGGTCGTTCCACTTACGTCTAATGGCTCCCCAGTTTTATGCATGATTGACAGTATGACTCGATTTTGGTCCCATGAGTTTAGTTTACCCGCTAAGTTCTGTTCACGCCCTTTTGCCTGGCTTCTGGTGTACCACGTGCGGACTCTAAAATACATGTATACACACAACACTCTGAGAGAAACAGAAAGACGGTGAACGATGCACAAATGGAGATGTATAATGCTTCTGCAACTAACACTACCACTATTGCTTTTGTTGTTATTAGGATGCAGAGGACGCGTTTGTTCGCTCAAGTAAACAGGGACTTAGGTAGACCGACAGATGAGCACGTGTACACACAATCACATTTGCAGGTGCGCACACACACACGGGCATAAACAAACAACCATCAGTTGAAATACTGACCAGTTAATTTGGCTAATGATTTGTGTGAGTGCTTCTCTAACCCCATTAATTTAGACAGTAAAAAGAAAATGTTCAGCCTAATTAGGTTGCTCAAACGGTATTTGGGCCAAACTTAGCAGACATTTGAACACATATACCCGCGATTTCTATGAATATTTATAAGGTGTGATTCGGTCTAAAACGTGTCATTGATATAGCTAGGTGGTAAAGATAGAATCACTCCCAAGATGTCTACGTACCAGTCTTGAACCACATTCAACGAGTATGTCGTTCGTTGGTTACGTGATAACAGTGGTAACGTATGTGTTTTGAGGAAATGGCAAGGAAATCCTAGACTGAGTATCCTGAGGACAATAACGGAACAGTAAGCCTGACTCAAGGGAGAATTTTGTGTTGTGTTGATTTTCATTATCAGTTTTGCACAAAGAAGCAATCTCCTCTGATTTGTTTTGTCTTCATTTAAGATTAACATTTAGAATCCACGGGGGACCGGCCGAGTGTAACTGGTATTTCTAGTAATTCAAAACAGGCTCGTACCCACAACAGTTAACTTGGTTCATATGGATCTAATACCTCGGAAATTAATTTTTCTGTTGAAATAGTGAACAGGTTATGTATTCAGTTCATATGGTGGTTTCTTAACCGAGATAAGTATAGCCGATCTTGTATTTCCAAAGAATTTGAAATCGAAATTGATGGATCGGAAGGATTGTTGTTACATATTTAGTCTGCCTAGAAAAACAACTATATTTGAATGGTCCTTTAAAATGGATGTCGTAAGTTCCTTTGTCGTGCTTGAAACCTATATGAATAAACTTTATTTATCGTGGCAGATTTAAGGCGTCAGACATTGCTTCGTTATGGAGTTCCATCTCAATCTATCATGGAATACTTGACAGATCCGATTCAAACGATTGCAATTCGACCCTAAGCTGTTTGGTTTAACAGCGACAAAGTACAGTAGATTGGGTCCAACAAACTAGGTAGAATTTTTTTGTAAATTCACCACACAAAAATTATTTTCGAATTGAGTTACGGGTGTATTTGGTTGTGGTAGCTGTTCATGGATACAATGTTAACATTTGAACCCGTACCCAAAATAGCTCGTGGATAGCATCTCAGTTGATAACATGGACCGTAAAACATCGTCCTCGTTTACGAGAAATTTTCCAATGTTGGTCATCGCATACAATCAAAGTTAACGCTCACTGTAAACAGACTTAGTGGAACTGATTGAACGTTCACTCCTTTAGAATTCCCACCGATTTCTAATATGTAACCGCAGGCTTGTTTTAAATGCTTCTGATGGTGGAGCTGAAACTTCCGTGGACACGAAGGTCTATTATGCCTTGCAAATTTCTAGATTCTTTTATGTGATTGTGAATGTTTGTGTCGCAAGTCGTGAAGCTGAAGGAGGCGTCAGCGTTGAAGGCATCTCGCAAAATGAGCGCTGTTGATACATGTGGCAAAGATGACATTTGTATCCAGCTTACCAACGGGTTAAACATAATTGGCTGCCATTGGAATTTTGCGCTGTGCGGTAGTCGGTGTGATGCAGTTTGTTAATATGTGATTGCATTTTGTTTATATGACCACGTCTGTGGTTGGATTGAAACAACTACAGCTGTTTTCACATACATACGTT